GAAAGGAAAGGAAAGGAAAGGAAAGGAAAGGAAAGGAAAGGAAAGGAAAGGAAAGGAAAGGAAAGGAAAGGAAGCCATTTATCATTCTTCCTGTCACATGGGTTACAAAGGGAAACTATTGGAACTCTTATCAATTTTATCTGGTTAAAAAAGAAATATACACCATTTCACCATACCATCAATGAACTTTTTTGAAAAAAAGCCCATTTTTCTCCCCAATCCACTGGTGAATTTGTTAAAAAAAGAAAAACCAGTTCCATTGGCCCACTGATGAAACCCTTTAGAAGATTACAGGTGCCTGCCAGCTCAGGAAAAATGGTCATGGAGGATAGCAACCAGGGACCAGAAAGTGGGGGAAGGGTATTCCTGACACAGTCCACTGTAGCCAACTACAGTAGAGTACAATGAAGTGCAGCAGGCAAACCAGAGAGCACCACTTGTGGTAGCACAAGTCAGAAACCTCTATTTTGGATACACAGCAGGAAAAGATGGGCAGAGGTTGGCCCTTCCCCCAGTGGGCTGGAGGTGTACTATATAGAGGATCACATTTTATGTTCCAGTTCTTCAGAACCAGTTAGTGGCTTGTACTTGTGCTGGAGCAACCTACTTGTGCATATCAGCCCTTTGTCTTTTAAATCAAGTGACAGGAAAGTTGTGGTCATGTCCCAGTGTCAATAGTTTATAAGAAGGGCTCTCACATCTGTGGTTTACAAGTGAGTTAGCATCCTGAGCACAAAAGTGGGGTGTACAACAAACACATGTTATTTCATGTAAAGAGACTTGGGCAGGGTTGGGAACTCTCATCCGGCCCAAGAAGGCTAGATGATGTCAGGAAATAGAAATTAAAAGAAGGAGGCTGGTGTAATAGGTTACTATTATAGATTCATTTTCACAAGGTCAGTTCTGACAATTTTGTTACATGGTCTCTTCTCCCTTCAGGGAGGCACAAGGTACTTAACATGGAGCATGGCTCTCATTACAGGAGATAAAACACTTGAGGGAGAAGATTTGAGGAAGAGAGGGGCTTCATTCAAAGTCTCCATACAAAGATATACAGATTCATTATAGGGTTGCTATATCCTTAATTCATTCCTTACTGCTATTGCAGCTTCATCTCACATTTGCGACGTCTCATATTTACATTTTCGCTCTCCCAAAAACTACATGCAGCTAACTTACTCATTGAGCAAAGGCATGGATGTCCTTCTCTTGCTCTTCTGTACCATATTGGCCTGATTCCTAAGGGAGATTCGGATGAGCGATGGAGCCAGCCGACATGGCTCCCCATCCACTTGCATGGGGATAGACTTGTATGTTAGTAGAGTCACTTCCCGACACTGATGCAACCTCTCTCCATGACCTCCCACTTGAAGAGCAGCCTTTCCAAGACATAAAGAAGGAGACAAGAGGGGAGATACTATATACAGATCTTTCTTTCTTTCTTTCTTTCTTTCTTTCTTTCTTTCTTTCTTTCTTTCTTTCTCTTTCTTTCTTTCTCTTTCTTTTTTTCCTTCCTTCCCTCCCCTTCCCTCTTCTCCTTCTCCTTCCTTCCTTCTTTCCTTCCCCTTCTCCTTCCTTCCTTCCTTCCTCCTTCCTTCCTTCCTTCCTTCCTTCCTTCCTTCCTTCCTTCCTTCCTTCCTTCCTTCCTTCCTTCCTTCCTTCCTTCCTTCTTTCTTTCCAAAGCAAAAGAAAGTTTTAAAGGGCTCCTAGATAGGATGTGCAGTTCCTGTACTTATCTCACGTAGAGGATGGCCAAAGTGTGTTGCCAATATCCCAGTGTTCATTACATAGTCATCTTGCCAACAGCCTGCAGCAGGCTGTCTTCAGTTCAATTCCAAGGGAAAATATCATGAGATGAATCCTCCTAAGGGCCTTTTGCACAAGTGTAGGCAGCCAGGAAGACTGCAGAGTGATACTTGATCCATCATTTAAACTGAATCTATGCATGGGAGATATTTTCATGGAAAGAGGGCATACTTTTGAGAAACCATTGCTCCTTGGAGTATTCTGCTCCTCAACTGCCACATTCCAAAATCAGTAAGCAGAGAAGGGAGAAAAATGCCAAGATATGGGAGATGAGAGTAGAGAGAGGAAAGCGTTGCATGCAAACATTTTTTTCAGGCATAGGAGTGGATGGTGGCTAACCATCCTCCATCGTTTCCTTAAAACAGCAAATCTAGCCAATATAGATGCATGCCACATACATAATGATCATTGCCAGTTGCCATTTGTTTCATTTTGTATGATTTTGCTTTTTTGCTCTGATAGCCTGGTAACTGGTATGGGAAGACGTTTATAAAATACCCACCAGGGATGCCATGGTGAATCCAATGACCTCAATGTAACCATCGTCGTGCCTCTGAGGTTCAAATTCTCTATGGTCTCCTGGGTTACCCCAGGGCATTGTGCCAGCACAATACCTATAGAAAGAAGTTGAAACTATAAGGACTTCAATGAACATTCAGCCAATTTTGTCTCTAACAGCAAATTATATAATCAAGGATATACATAGCTTTGTTCTCTACAAATGACTTCTGACAGCTGAAGTTCTTTCTTTCCTTTGAAACAGAGATTGTTTGGGAAAAATTAAGGGTCACTTTTCCATATAACATATATACCTGCCTTTGAGGCAGAGAGTACTTATCCTTGTCTAAACACTGGTTGTCTTAAAAAGTGCAAATAGGGGGGTTTTTTGGTTTTTTTTAAAGATTTTTGTGATTAATTCTCCATTTTGCAAATGTCAGACTTCCTCTTTCCTGTTAACTTGTTGACATCAGTTCAGAATGTAACTGGGATATAGGAAGGATTCTGAGAGTGAAGATCCATTCTTTCAAGGGAGACAGGGATACATGGCACCACAGTTATATTATTTTGATGTAGACAAGTTTGTAAATCCCAGGGCAGGCTCCCTTATGAGACAAAGACTTAACTTTGTTGGACTCTACATTGTGTTGGAAGGGACAGATTGGGCTTGGCCCACCATTCTTGCTGGTGTACCTTCCATTTTGATGTAGTTCTCTGAATCAAATCCAAAAATCTGGGTCAGAAGTATGTGCCTTCAGAAGCATCTACATTAGAGTACATGTTCTGGAGAACTCTACAGTCTGCCAGTTCTTTCAGACTGCTCACCCATTCTGATGACTCACAATGAGAAGTCTTCAGAATAACCTTATCACTACAGGCTAGTATTCTGGGACCTAAAAAATCATTTTTCTCTGACATGATTTCTAGGCTCAAATGCAAGATGACATAGGTGATCTCTATAGACGCTCACTCGTGGTTTCTCATTTTGGGAAAAGAACCTTCCAAGTGAGATACTGAGGTAGAAGAGGTGATAGAGGCAGCAATGATCATGGTCACAGGAACAAGCCTATGTAATCTTGGGCCACACTACTCATAGAGTTACCTTCAGTTTATTACAAAATAGAAGTTTGCAAGTCCCTCAGGTACTGTCAGGAATTTACTTGAGATCAATGGGAAAATCCATGTATTTCTAGAATGTTTTCTTTATTATGTATTAATTAGCCAAGATCCATCCAATTTGAAACTGAGATTTGATGATGGCATGATTCAACTTAGATTTGTGATTTAAGACTCAAAGGTAGAAAGATTCATTCAAACCAGTTCAAGATTTCATTCAATGATTTGCCCATAGGCTGTAACATGGAAGGTCCAAAATGCTGCATATGCTATATTTTGTCAGAATGAGATGAAAGTAGCTAGAATGATAACTTTCAAATGGGCAGCATTTAAAAGACTGAGAGGGCTTCAGTTCAGCTTTCTGACCTTCTGGAGGGCCACTTGAGGTCTTCTGATGATGCTGAGACGTCACTATAAAGAGCCGAAACATTTTTGGCCTGGATTTTGTGGGGATTGACATATAGAAGCAGAAGGGTTTCCTAAGGCATCCCTTAAAAATCATCCAAAAACCTGAACAAATGGCCAAATTACACCACTGAAATCCAGCCATGTTGCTCTCTAATTATGGCAATGTGTACTAGCAATGAGGACACATATAGCGTGCCACCCATGGATTCCTACTTGTTTTTGAAAACATTAACTCTACAAAACTTCAAAGATTTCATAGCTCTGTGTGTGTGTGTGTGTGTGTGTGTGTGTGTGTGTGTATACATGCATGTCTTTAAGTCACTCTTGAGTCCTGGCAATTAACCAGACATGTATATGCAATTTTCTTGGCAACATTTTCAGAAATGGTTTGCCATTGCCTTCTTCTTCAGGTTCAGAGGGAGAGAAAGTCACCTAACTGGCTTACTGCCTAAGGCAAAACAGGAACTGAATGGACTCCCCATTTGTAGCTGGTGCCTTTAACCAGCCTTTTACAGGGCCAATACAGCACAGATGAAGAAAGATCAGCATAGCCATCTTCAGATGCTCCAATAAAAAGCATGTAGAAATCTTGGGCTGACCCCATTCAACTTAAAAATTAAAAAATCTCAAATACTACTTAAAAAGTCTATTCTTACAAAGTCCAAATCCTTGTTACCTTGCTTTTCTGGCAGGCAGATTTGTGGGCATGATTCATTGACAAGGTTAGCCTCTTCTGGAAATGATGCATTATGGGCTGCTTGTGCAACAATACTTTTTTAAAAATGGGTCAGGAAAGTGTTGTGTTATTAAACTGGACTATATAATACACTATGATATATCCACAATATTCTAACAATAAACACAATATTTCAGATCCACTCATGAAATGAAGAAGTCAACTCTTTTATGGAGTCAGACACGTAGCAGAAAGAAAACAGGATTTTCTTTTTAATTCAGGATAGGGGATTAAAGGTAGGACTGGAAATGCTGAAAAACTGCAGATTTATTGGAGACAGTGCCCATATTACAAGTCCGAAAAACAAACTGAGTGTTAAGGAAGGATAAGGATAAAAGTGTATGGATTTGGAGAAAAGCAGATGATCACACAAGAAGAACAAATCAGATTTTTTAAAAAGCAGCAGAATAAATCTGTTCTCTCTGTGTCTCTTCCCCCCTAAGCTAAGTAAGACCAAGTTCATCCAGGCATGCCACCTTCAGTACACTTCACAAACTGTGTTTTCAAGCTTGATAAAATCACAACAGGGTGATTTGGGCTGCAACACTATCATTATGCAGATTATATTGTTTTCCACTGATTAATCCTAAAGGGGCTATGGAACTCCTAACATATAAATTTTGCTTTATTTATTTGGGGAAAGCTGAAGCTTAAACAAAACAAGATTTGGGTTGGAAAATCTGTTGATCTGAATATAAGGACTGAACTAGTATTGGATAGAATAACAACAACAAAAAACATTTAGGCTTGAAGATTTCTTTGGACACATAACCAATTTTATTTGTTGGCCTTCAACAAATAAACTTTGACCACAGCACTCAAAAATGGCTAGGAAAGATACTGAATTAAATAGCAGGAAGAGAGGGAGAGGGAGAACTAGAAGATGTATTAAAAAGTCAAGGTGATACTAGTGGTCCTCAGACAAACAAGACTAAGCATAGTTTACTTGAGATATTTGGTAGTTTGTGGCATCCAAACTTGAGAGCCAGTTTGGTGTAGTGGTTAAGATGCTGCCCTAGAAACCAGGAGACTGTGAGTTCTAGTCCCACCTTAGTCATGAAAGCCATCTGGGTGATTTTGGGTCAATCACTCTCTCTCTCAGACCAAACCACCTCACAGGGTTGTTGCTGTGAGGAAAATTAGGTGGGAGCATTAGGTCTGTATGCTGCCTTGAGCTGACAAAAAAATAAAGGCAGCATAAATCAAATAAATAAATACATTCAAATGAACCCATACACAAGGGTTTTGTTTGTTTGTTTGTTTGTTTGTTAGTCTTTTGAAACATCTAAAAAAGATTCTGCTCTAAGAGTCCTAGAATAAAAATTCTTTACCTGGGTATGTTTAAAAATACTATACATTGGAATTTCAGCTCCTGAATCTTGGAAGTCAGGTCAGTCCCATCACACTGCCAGAGAGTAAAAGAAAGAAAATGAAAGCAAATATGAACAGGTAAACTTCATAACAGAATAATCAATTGCTGAGAAATGGGATCTTGAAAGTTGAGAATGGAGTGCAGACTTGGAGCAGTGGATATCGAATACAAACCAGAGAACCCTGATGACCACAAATAGGTGCAGAACCTGAGTAGGCTGCAGAGAAAGACTGGGATTATTTGATTGGAATATCTACTCAAGAGGATCTGGCAGGGGGAAGGGTAATTTGGAAGACACCAAGCTGAAGGCTGCTATTCTTGGGAATACAGTTTTCTGTTCCCAAGCATCTTCTATCCCCAGCAGCATGTTTATTGGTATAATAACATCCATTTGGCCAATATATATTCCAGATGCTCTGCAGTGGGGTCATCATGATGTTACCCGAATGAATCATCAGAGTTACCAAGAAGATGAAAGATGTTCTGCCAGGTCTGTGGGACTCAAGGCATAAAAGGAGAGATCCTTTCAGGGACTGATTGAATCACACACCTACAGTGGGTTCATACAACATCCTAAAAACATGGGTTAAAAAAGCACAATTCTTCTGTTCACAGGGCATAAATACCTAAGCAAATCATATTTCTATAATGCTTGACACGATGATTGGCCATGGTACCAAAACAATTGCAGGTTTCCTACAATATGCTGAACCACAAACAATCCAACCTCATTTTACCTTAGTCTAGTCCATTGTATGAACCCAGACTTTAAGTCATGGGATTCTAGGTTCTGTGGCTCAGAAGGATATCCTTCATCACCTAAAAAAGCTCAACCATCTAGAAAAAAAGGCAATTAATCAATTCTTGCCAGAATCAGAACTGGATTGGGACCATTCACACTGAAGCACATTAATAATGCCCACACATTTTCAAAATGCTATTTACAGGTCAATAAAGATGGGTGACTACCTTACCCAACCCACCATATCCTGCTTCTCCTTCTTTATTTTATGTATTACTAGGTGAGACTGCAAAGAAAAAAGATTAGGCCTGCATGAGAAATCTTTCATTTGTCCCACTGAGATGTTTTCTGTCTACCTTACAGTCCTCCCCAGAGTTCTCACTTCAGGCACGACCAGGCTCATATTATCCTACTTCAGACGTATTATGCGAAGACCCAGCTCTCTGGAGAAGGCTCTAATGCTGAGCGACCAGCAGCAAGCTAGATGGACTCAGTTATCCTGGCAATGGGTGCCATTGGAAGAGCTGAAGGACCAGGCTAGGGGCAGATCGTCATGGAGAAAATCTATCTATGTGGTGCCAAGAGTCGAAAATGACTTGATGGCACATCATCAAATCAATCACAGTCTTCTCAGGCCCTTGTCAAAGCAGAAGACATTGCTTTGCAGATCTAGCTCATGTGGAAAAGTCTCTTCCAGCTACTGCAAGTGCCCAAGAAGAAAAATGAAGCAGGTGAAATGAAGTAATGTGAGGACTTTGCTCTCACAAGGGAGGAGCTGGCCTTGCTTTACAAAGCAGATTTGAAGGGTGGTTTCCTCAGTCCTTTCCTGAAGCAAAACCCCACTTAAAGGTCTGCACAGCCTTAATAAATTCCATGTAGACAAACAAATGACAAACTGGGAAACCACAATTATGCCCAGAAAATAAGACACTGTATCCCTTGAAACTATTTCTCTCTCTTAATAATTTATTTTGGTTTAAAGGCATTGGAGCCTTTTTTCTATTAAAAATGGTCAATCCAAAACACCAAACCTGGGACCTTCACTCATGTTAATATGAATGAAAATGTTCCTTAATATTTTTTCTAGGCTTCAGACAAAGTGCCCAAACTGACAGGCCATTTCCTGGCTCACAGTCATTAAAAGACACAAAATCCTCTATTATACTTACCACAACTTTCACATGTTTGGATAAATCTCTAGAGCTTCTCTGAAGAAAATCTGAAAAGGCTGCCTAGATTACACAGGAATAGAAGATGTACAGAAAGGGAGATATAATTTTTTCCTGAAATTTTTGACAGTATTTCTAGAACATCAAATGCTACAAAGTTTTGTTAAGCAAACTTGCCCCAGTCACATTTCAGTGCAGAACAAAGTATGTGATTTCTTCTCTGGAATATGACTTATTTCCCCTGTCATCAGTGACAGAAGCATTTGGAAGCAGTGTCTGCTTCTTAGTAGTCCCAGTTGTTTTTTAAAAATCCCTTAATTTGGGAGACATAAAGACAGCAGAATGGAAAATAAGACCGAAGTATACCAGAAGGATGATCAGTGTTCTGTCACTGATAATTCACACTCCCCTCCTCCTCTTTATCCTGTATCAGTCCAGTACATTGACAGGAGAATGCAGAATTGGCTTCTGGATGGATTAGCTTATTTTTAGCACAGGCATTTGGTTTAATTTTTCTGGGGACTGCTGGCCGCGTAGAGTCTGAGCTCCATCTACATGCAGCCAAGGATCAATCTAGGGTATACTTAGAATGGTATCAAACCATGAAGTATTTAGGCAGAAGCACTCTGATTGGTGAAAATCTATCTACACAGTCTTTCTGATTCCCCATCTGAAGTACACCTCCACAGGAACAGTAGACAAGTTGCTTTTTTCTTAGAAACTACGCAAAACCCTTGCTTCTTTCTAAAGTTTTGAAGCAATAGTTCTATATGCAGACATAAGTGGCTTTAAGTCTTATTGAACTCAATAGGCATTCTTTCACATTAGATATGCCTAGGAGTGTGCTGTTAGAGATATACTGGCCTATTTGCTTATTGCCAATTGCCCAAGAAAAAAAAAAATCAGAGGAGAAAGAGGCCGTATCAACTCACCCCAGCATAAAACATTTTATTTCGAAACCGGCTGTTGAATTTTTCAGGATTTGCCTCTGTGAGAAGGAAGAAAAAGAAAGCAGGATTTAAAAACTCTTTACAAAGTCCATTAAACACTGCATGGCTTTACACATTTAACTTTTTCAAGAAATAACAATGAATCAAATGGTGATGTGAACCGGCAGTAAAGAAATGTTATCTGAATTAAGTAATGAAGCGCCTTTCTATAATTCAAGGAAGATTGGACATTTACTTAAGAAAAGAGAGAAAGAATAATAATATCTTGAAGACTAACATATTACTGAATTACCAAGTTTTTAAGGCTGCAAAATTCTTGACTTGCATAGTTTATAGGAGAGGTAGATGTAGCACGCAGAAACCTCCAATACTTGATGCCAAAGTACAATTTTTAATATGGCAGAAGGAGAACATTATTACATAAATTATTAGAAGGCAATCACATTAATTTTGTTTAACTTTAATTGAATGTAAATTAGATCAATTTTATGTATTAACTATCCTGCTCTCACTTCCTGTCTGGTTTCATACATCAGGCATAGCTATAAATCTCAGCTCTCTAGGCCCTTAAATGCAAGAAATCAACAGAAGGCTCTCAGACTCTTGGCAAGATTATTCTCTTTTCTGTAGGCAAGACTGAAGCCACACACACACAGAAATTTTGCCTACTGTACTATATAGAAGTCAAAGCCTATGTATCAGTCTATGTTCCAAAATTTAAACTCTAGGCTCTTCCTTCCTGCCTTTCTGAGACAATGGATACTTGGCTGTTCCTTTGATGGCCTTGGAAAGCACCCGATATATGCTGATGTAACCGTTCTGCTGAGCCTGGGAATTGCTGGTTCCTGCTTTACCAGCTTCATACCTTACACCTAGTCTTTGGAGAAAAGCCCTTGGAGAGCACAACTCTGATCCTCAAGTCAGAAAAAGCAGCACTCCCCTGATTTATATAAAATATATTTTAGCTTATATTGAATGGCTCAATTAACTATGACTTTGCATTACCTGGCAGCTGACAGACACACAGATAGCTCTCCCAATCCTTTGGAATACCCAACCTTCAGCTAATGGCAGGAGTAGAGAAACAGCTTGGTACAGGTGAGATTTTAACAAACAAGAACTAGCAGTTTAGCTCCTGTAAGCTAAATGTAAGAGCCAGGAAAGATGAGGGAATGGCAGAAGGTATGAGATCCAAGGTTGCCAAAGGAAAAAAAAAAAAAAAAGCTGATTGACACTCCATAAACCAAATGCAATATGCAATCAGGATTCTAAAGCAAAATCTTTTAAAAAATCTAATTTTTCCCCATTATGGGTCATATGTTAAAGTGGAGGTGTGTGAAGAGCCGAATAGCATTAAGAGAAAATAGAGGTGCTATTTAAAATCTTCCTGACCAAATACTCACTCAGAAATATGCAGCATGCTCTTGCCATAGTATTTTCTCTCTCCTCTGTTTATTTAAATGCAGATGCATCTACACACTGACATCTCTGGAATAGCATTCATCTATTCTTGATTAAGCATTATGACTTCATTATTAAATAAAGCTTGTAACTCAGAAATCATCATTCAAAATGTTTAGCTACAAGCATATTTGGCTAGTATTCCAGCACATGTTCGTACAGAAATAAAAGTGCTACTGTCACCCTGTCATTTCTTTGCCTTTTCATGACCCTTCATTACGAGTCCTACTGCTTGCAGCCATTTTAACATGAAAAAAACATGCATTAGCTCTTTCCATCAGGCAGTCAGACCTTTATTTAGTCTGGCATATTAAGAAAAATGGGGCTGGGGAGAGAAACCTTTTCTATTGGGCTTGATGATAGCATGAAAACAAGGACAAATAAGGTTGATGTTCCAAATCCACAGGAACAAATCATCTAGATTCTAAACTGTTTGGGGTATCATCAATGTATTTTTCCACCATCCAAGCATGTATTATAATGCGGCTTTTGACAAACTGGTGCCCTCCAAATATGCTAGACTGTCATAGTTCCCAGACTGGGGGATGATATCTAATTTTTTCCAGAGGACACAAATTTGTGATCAGTTGTAATATGTAGAGAGTATAGAGAGAAAGACCTTGAAAGAGAGAGGGAAGATCCATTACCAAGGCAACAAACAGATAAATGTGGCTTAAGCCATATGAAGAGAGTTTTATGAAAACATCTTAGACAGGCACCCCCATAATTCTCAAGAAGATAAAAGAGGGAGGTTGGGAAGCACATTCACACTTGAAAGATTCTGTTAATAAAAGTAATTTTAGGTGTACATGGTGTCTGGTCTACCATACAGGGCTGACATAATATGCATTGTGGAGTCGAGCACCAACTAGCAGTCAGAAGACATGATGAGAACTCCTTAATCTCACAACACATGGAC